AATCCTAAACTCTATAAGCTCTACCCATAGGCCCCTAAGTAGTCCCTTCTTGGGATTAAAATTATAGGATCTAAATATAAGCCACAAAAAGGAACTACTTAGGGGCCTATGGGTAGATTCTACATAACATAATGTAGGGGCCTTAGTACTTAGAATAGGGTTTTGGGGGTTCCTCATTATAACTATAATATAAGATACCCACCAAACCCTATTCTAATTATTACCCATAGGCTCCTAAGTAGTTCCTTTTTGTGGTTTATATTTAGAATCCTACAAGGCAATCCCAAAAAGGAACTACTTAGGGGCCTATGGGTAAGGCCTCTATATTAGAAGTCTTTCGGAGCGCCTCACGAAGTCGGCACCAAGCCGCCGAAGCGGCTGCAGGTGAAAGGTCTGCGCGGCCTCTCAAGGGTTTAGGGTTTAGGGTCTAGGGTTTAGGGTTTAGGGTCTAGGGTTTAGGGTTTAGGGTCTAGGGTTTAGGGTTTAGGGGGTTTACCTATAGTCTCAGTTCCTTTTTTGGGCTTCACCAAATCTATATTAAGGGTCCTAAACGGTAACCCCAAAACGGAACTACAATGGAGACTATAGGTGGGGTTTAGAGAGGGTTTAAGGTTATAGAGTCCAGAGGGTTCAGGGCTTTAGAGGGTTTAGGGTTCGCAGAGTGTAGGGCTTGGGCTTAGGGCTCATGCGGTGGAGGGCTTCCGGCACATAGGGATCGAGGGAGTCCACAGTCCGCCTACAGATTGTTTAATTTATATTTACAAAGGTTTCCAGTAAGGGTGTCACGAAGGGTCTTACAAGAACTCTTGGACGTTGGTTGTTGCGGCTAACTTAGTTGTTCGTGCGTTACGGGTTTTGGGCTTTACACTGTAATTTATCGTCAATCTATGTAATACGTATTTCCAAGGTTCGGATCCTCTGACTTTGTGTGAACATGTTTATGAGTGCTTAGTGAATTTTCATCAAGAAAATCAGGCTAAACCCTAAACCCTAAACCATAGGCGGCTCTTTTCTTGTGAGGGGTTGACATGGCTTTGGTATTTTTCATTTTGAGCTTGCTTTGTAGCCTCAAGCGAGGGATATATGGCCCGAAGTACTTACCTATAGTCTCCATTGCAATTCCTTTTTGGGGTTACCTTTTAGGATCCTAATATAAAATTGGTTAAACCCAAAAACGAACTACAATGGAGACTATAGTCTATAGGTAGATTCTACATAACAGAAGCTAGACGGGAGGGTCTAGGCTCAACCAAAATTTCGGGTTTTGGGGTTTAGGGCGTTGAGGATTCATTCCCCTTGGAAGGGCTTTAGGGTTTAGGGTTCGCTCCCGGGCTGCTGGAGGTTCAGGGTTTAGGGGGGTTTAGGGTTTGAGGTGTAGGGATTGCAGGGTTTTAACTTTGAGTCAAGGGAACCATGGCAAACTGCAAACACTCCATGCCATACGCTCGAAAACCCTAAACCCTAAACCCTAGCCACCCATGCTGGCGGGCGTGACGGCTTCACGGTCGAGATTCACGTAAAACTTCTATGGAAGTCTGTCATAAACAGTGCTCAGAGTTTAGGGGTTTAAGGTCTTGGGTTCCTAGGAAAGTCTGGAGGGGATGCTCAATACTTCAGGTATACAGGCCACGGTGTGGGGAGCATGTGGCCTAGCTTTGAGTTCTGAGTTGAAGCGGTCCGCGCCGCGCATCGCGACTTAGGTACGAAAACTAGGTACATCGTTGGAGGATCGAGGATGTTTGAAAATTCGCTACCCTGCCAAACTTAATCCAGACCACCAAAAAAGACGCAGAACGGCCAATCGCCTCGCCGGTGACCTGCGGACGAGATGGTTCCAAGCTGGGCACCGGCCGCAGTATCATACACCCTGAGACTGTACGAAACAGAGTACGTAACCCGAATATACGGTCCTAAATAATTGCCAATGCTATGTTGGGGGGTTTCCTTAAACTTCTTGTAGTTATATATAGTATAATATACCCCAACACCCTATTCTACTTATTAAGGCCCCTACATCATGGATTACAAGTGAAGCCTGAAGTCTACATCTTGCAGAACACTGATAGTACTGACAAAAACTCTACCTACCGCGTCCGCCTCGAATGACGAACCCTGAAACCAAACGAAACGGGTTGCACGAGCTTGATAACGGTCAAGCGGGTCCCTGCATGGCCCCTAAAGCGTGAGCTGAAGGCGGAGGCATACCTCTCAGAGACCCAGAGAACCCAATACCCCTTAATGATAAGGAATATATACCTTACATCATAATGTAATAATAAGGCCCCTAGAATTTAAGGATATTTTCCTTAGTTGAAGGGGTATTGGCCTCTCTGGGGAATCCAAAACGACCTCAATGCCCGCCCTGTTCAGGGCCAGTGGCCGGTGGAGGCACGAGATTCCAAGGGCCTAAAACGGTGGGAGGGGAAAACAAAGGGCACGTGTGGAGGAGGGAGAGGGAGGGAGGGTCGGAATACAACTGCGAGAAACGCATTCAGAGAGTGAGAAAGACGAGGAAGAGAGAGAGAGAGAGAGAGAGAGAGAGAGGAAAGAGAGAGAGAGAGAGAGAGACAGAAAATAAACGCGAAGGCAAGGAAGGAGACCGAGAGCGAGAGAGAATGCAACTGCGAGTTCTGAAGATCCTCCATTAGCCCAAAAGCCTGACCAGCACATACCACAAACTACCAAAGCCTACTGATTCTCAGCTTACAATCATTAAAGGCTGTTCTTGAGACCCTGCAAAAACTACGAGTAGGTTTGCATAGTCTCTGGAAAGTAGCTCGCATACAAAAGCACTCCATTATGCCAACCCTAAACCCTAAACCCTAAGCCCTATAAACCCTAAACCCCCAAACCCCTTCCCAACCATGAAGTCCCCCTGGCAACCAAAGATCCCATGCAACGTCCTCGATGTGCCGCACGCCGGAGTGTCGCTGCAGCTGCCGTGAGACGCCGAAGCGCACGGATGCCCATCTGGGGAAGGGACGGTTTAGGGTTTAGGGTTTAGGATTTAGGGTTTATAGGGTTTACGTTATCCCTCAGGGTTCTATAAGGCCACCATGGGAGTTTAGGGTTTCAGGGTCCACTTACCCAAATGGTATAATTATGCCTTGGCCTTATAAAGTGGTCCCGATTCAGGTAGTTTAGGGCTTTATAGCCAATGTATATATACTATTTGGCCACATGGACCCCCCTAAACCCTAACCCCTAAACCCTACCCTTAGGTTATGCTAGAGGCCTAGACCGGCCTCAAGGCTCCGGGGGGGTTTTCGTTTTCCTGGCTTGGAGGAGAATAAATTGGACTTGAGCTTGCGGATTCGTAGAATCTCTCTTACGTGCATTATACTAAGGGTGTTAGGGTTTTAAAGGTTTATAATTTAGGGCTTGCTGGGTACTGGGTTTAGGGTTTAAGTGGGCTTATAATTTAGGGTTTACTGGGTTAACGCAGTCCCCTCGCATTTTTGCTCCATGCGGTAGTCGGGTGGTAGGCGCTTGGGATAGGGGGTTGCAGAGTGTGAGACCGTGAAGACGCAAAGGTTAACCCGGGACTTCCAGGTAATTATTTCGGGCCTGGGGCTTTGAAACCGAAGATGAGGCTGAATCAGTTGCAACATTGACGATGGGCCAGGAGAAGCCCCTGCGGTTTGTAGGAAGAGTGTTGAAACGTGTCAATCTTGCAGGTTTAGAAAGTTCTCAAACCCATTTACGTGAAAGCAAGTTTCTTATCCAACGTGTCAAGTTTCACAAAAACCTAGTGCAAAACCTTTGGCTGGTTTATAGGGTCCCTAAACCCCAAACCTAATTTATGGATTTATGGATGCTCTAGCCATGCTCAACATAGCTGAGCGCCCTTGTGAAAACTTCCAGATACAAACCCGAAAGCCCGATTCCCTCTCCAGAGAAGACGGACAAGCAGAAAGCAGCAAATGATGCCTTTCACTTCATTTCACTCCCCTCCTTTGGCGTCGCAAAGCGTGCGATGTCCAGGGTGATGCGACCCTTAAATCACACGTAGCCTATGAACTGAACGGTTACAGCTCACCAGTATTAATTATAACTGTGCTACAGGAATTTCCAGGTCGAATGGCTCTAATCTGTAAACGACCTATTGATGAGAGGGCGCAGGCTTCAACCCTAAACCCATGTATCGACTGATTTGGGGCGGCATTAGGCTCAAGGCGTATGGGGAGTCCAGCTGGATAACGAGCAAAACCTGTACAAGCTCTGATTCAACCACGGGCCATGCTAGCTGCAGCATGGCAAGAACCTAATTCGTGAATTCTGGCGGCGACAGCTTGGATCGATCGGATTCCGAAAGGCGTCTTTAAGCGGCGTCTCGGCACTGTTTGTGCGAAACTTTTCCGAAGCGTAATGCATGATCTCCAAGCTCCTCAGAACCACTTCGGAAAGAGTTTCAAAAGTTCATGTGCAGCTATTCATTGTATGATTCACAACAGACGTGCTCCCCCCATACACTCTACAGGTACCCTAAACCCACCACAGCCGACAAATCTGCAGCCACCGGATGATCCTTCCAAAGCCAATGCTTCCGGAGTCGGAGTGCGGATGCCATTACCAAGCAGGAAATTCCTTCTGAACCCCAGATTCTTCATCTTTTCGGCATGTCTTATAATATAGACGGTATAGACTCAACTCAAACTATATAGAACGCTCAGGACGAAGTACCGGTAGACTTGTTAACTTGTTAGTCTCGGTTGCTTGCGCTCTGTGAAGAGGTCTACGCTCTTGTCCCTCCCCCGCATCCGAAGCAAGTGACCGAAGATTGTGAAACAGTCAACCATGTAGAGTATGAGTACGGTAGAATACACATAAGCACTCAATCTGTAGGTTCCTATGGAAACCTCTTCAGAGGCACTGCATGGGAGTGTAGAAGGAAAGCAACCATGCATCAAGGGTGGTCGGTCTCGCCATATCTCTCCTCATCCGCAGTGTTTCGAGAAGCTTTCAACAAGACCTCTTGAGCTACCCTGAACCGCTCGATTTCAACTTCTAAGCCGCTCAACTGTTGCCGGACCAGGCCCAATGCTGTGTTTCCAGAACTGTCGTCTATTCACATCGGCTCTTGCCTCAAGCAACTGCTGCAGGGCACCAACATGCGCACGCGTGGCTGTCAGATGCAGTCCACCGTCCCTCACAACCTCCGTCACATCAGCACTGCGTCGCAGAAGCAAGCCCAGCAAGTCGCAATCAATATCACCCCGAGAAAAGGCTATCTGCAAGCCCTCAGGACTCAAGGCATTTACGGCTGACCGGGCCTCAAGCAGGGCTTCTACCACGGCGCAGTGGCCAGATTGCACGGCTGCATGCAAGGGTGTTCTTTGAAAACCTTCATGTGCAAGGACAGTTGCCCCGGCTTGGATCAGCAGCTGCACGGTACGCACTGTAGCAACTGAGGGCCCCTTCCCTGCAACAAGAGACAAAGCTGTCACGCCCCCGGCAGTTCTTGCATCTGCGTTCGCAGACGCCTCAAGCAACAGTTGCGCAATTCGGTGGTGACCCCTGTCCACAGCGATGATCAATGGCGTAGCTCCAGTATCAGGAAGACGTAGGGGAGAGTACTGAGACGCCATGTTAAGATCACTTCCCGCTTCGATCAAGAGCTCCACACTTCCAACCGAGTTCCAGTAGCATGCTCCATGCAGTGCAGACCAGGACCAACCCGTGGCGTCCACCATATCCGGATCTTGCGGCTCCCTCAAGAGAAACTCAAGATCTATCCGATTGTTGTCGGCAGCATACTTGAGCTCTTCGTAGCGTCCCTGCTCGGCAAAAGGTCGGACCAACAACTCAAGAACCCTAAACCCTAAACCCCAGGGAGTTCCAAGGAGTGGCTGTCACGGAGATCCCCTGCAGCATCTTCCTCCGAAAGAACCTGCCGAAATCGAGAGATGCCTGTCAACTTCTGCAGGTACCTTTTGAGGTCTCTCACGGTGCCTCCTGAAGCAACTGAGGCAGCCAACTCTCGTGTCTGCTCCTCGTTCAAGCTTGCGATCTGGTTGCCGCTGGCTCTCCAACGGACGATCAGCATGCGACGAAACTAGAACTATATCTCCTGTCCTGAGGCCGTATGCTGTGCACGATCATGGCGACGACTATCAGGCTTGCGGATGTAGAAATGAGGGTGAACAAAGAACCGAAGGAACCCTGATTTTCAACCGGTGCCCCTAAGCCCTATCTGTACAAATCGTCACGCACAAAGCACGAGCCGATAAATCCTGAACCCTGATAGAAATGTGGCTTGTTGCCGACCCCTGGGAGACTGTCGAAAACCCAAATGTTCGAAAGCTTAAACCCTATCAATCCTATAGAAACCCTAAACCTTGCAAGCGGGTTCGGGAACGGGGACGATTCTCGACTGTTTTAAGAGCGCTGCCAATGAACGTACAAATCCTCAGAGCCGCAAAGACCCTAAACTCTAAACCCCACAATCACAAGTCCTGATATCCAGACTATTCCAAATCCGAAGATGACCCCAAGTTGGAACTCTCTACCCCCAAAGCCCTATATGATAATCCCTTTTGCCCCCAAACCCTTTCGTTGGAACCCCCAAACCCAAAACCTTGTAACAGCAAGAATCCTAACAAACGTAGTTCCCCCTTCAGGGTTTAGGGTTTCTAAACCCTATAAACCCTCCCAGAACCCTTCCTGCCTCCAGCGTGTCTATGCGGTAGGGAGGCGATGCGAGCCGCCGCTCTGAGAAGCAGGGCCTGCCCCGCAGTGATCTGGGGTCGCGGGGTTTAGGGTTTAGGGCCTTTGCGAGTTTAGGGTTCAAGGTTTCGGGCTTTAGGGTGTGCACCAAAGTTTGGGGCCTAGGGCTTCCAGGATTTGGGGTTGAGGGTTTTAGAGGTTTAGGATTTAAGGGTTCAGGGTTTATAGGGTTTTGGAGGTTCGGGACTGAAGGGCTTAGGGTCCAGGGTTGAGGGTTTGAGTAGCAGTTTAGGGTTTTTGGGACTTTTTCGGGCTTAGTGGGGTCGTATGACTCTGGGTTTATCCGCTGCTACGGTCACTGCATCTAGTCGACAGATTCATAGATGGTTGTGAGATTACGGGTGGACTCCCCAAGAGCCTTATAGCTTTGTCCAAGAGCCTTATAGCTTTGTCAGATTATTCCGTCTCATGAGCTGTCCGTTCTTGAAAGTTCTATCCTCTAAGCGAGGACATGAAGAGGATAGATGAGCCAGTGGTGCACACACGACCCTATACCCTAAACCCAAAGCCCTATACATGCTACACTCTAAACTCTAAACCCTAAGCCTTGAGCCCTAATCCTAAACTCTACATACTCTATACTCTAACCCTAGCAACAAAACCCTAAACCCTGAACCCTAAATCCCAAGCCAAACGACCCTAAACTCTATCAGGTTGTCTCTGCACCAGACCACCCCTTCCTCGAACAAAGCATTACCCATAGGCCCCTCAGTAGTTCCTTTTTATCGTTTATATTTAGAATCCTATAAGGTAATCCCTAAAAGGAACTACTGAGGGGCCTATGGGTAGTAACACTCAGAGAAACACCAGCACGCTAATGAAAATAAGCCAACTTAGGACTTAGGGCTTCGCAGCAGATTCGAGATGGTGGTAATACGAGCCCAGAGAGCCCAATGCCCCTAATTATAAATAAGGACTATACCTTAAGTTATAGGGGCCTTACAAAAAAATGATTTACGGTAAAAGCCGTAATTCAGGGGTATTGGGTTCTCTGGGAGTCGCAACAATCACGTTAAACGTTAACCGTGCTGGCGAGTAGTAGATGTAATGCTATCACCATCTATCACCAGTAATCACAACACGAGTAGTGAGTAGGGGTGCGACAACTACTCAAAAACCTACTTCTTCTCCCTTGGGCTGGTTGAGGCTCATCTCCTTCATAGCCTTCGAGATACCAACACTCCCACGGGGCAAGGAAGAGACCACCTTCTTCTCGAGCTCCTCCTTTGTAAGCTCTTCCACCCCTTTGGACACACCAGCAGATGATGCAGCCTCTTTAGAGATGCGTTCCTCGTCCAAGTCGAGCCCAAAAATGCCCAACGAGTCGGCGAGTGCAACTTCCTCAGGAGTGGCATCCTCGCCACCATGCCGATCGAACTGTAGCTTGGTAACGATGACTGCACCGGCGTTGTCATCCTCTTCTTTCTGGATGACGTTCTCAGCTCCCGGCGCTGTGTCCAGCAGCCCAGCAAAGCCCTGTCCACTTCAGAAATCTCTTCTCCATCCGCTGCAAACCCTAAACCCTAAACCCCTAAACCCCCAAAACTTTAAACCCCCAAAACCCCTAAACCCCTTGCCGAGTGTAGGAACCTGATTAAGAAACCTCCGGTCTTCTCGGAGGTTCCCTTTTTATGGGCCCTGCTATATTGGAACGGTTTAGGGTTTAGGGTTTAGGGTTTACTGCTATATTGGAGTCATAGGACAAGCTTAGGGCTTAGGGACCAGGGCTGCTGAGTTCATAGGCACGTAAAAATGTGTAGACTTTCAGTTCTATCAAGGGGTCGTCTTATCCCAAAAAAGCTTGAAGTGTACTCATTCAGCTACTAAGTACTATTTTGGGGGTTATAGGACCAGGGCTTCTTAGTCAGGTTCCTACATTACCCGCCTACCTGCAAGATGCCAGGACCGTCTTAGTCTTGTCAACAATATATTGGGTATTAGGGTTTAGGGAAAATCTCGAGAAACCACTCCTGCCAAATGTCCAAACTGGACCCTGCACCATAACAGCCAATCTGCATCCTACAACCTAAACCCAAGCCGGATAAACCCTACTAACCCCTATAAGCCGCACCTGCACCGAAAGCTGACCGCCACTCAACCCTGAGTTCTCTTCCCTTTAGTCCAACTTCGAAGGTGTCCATGCTCTTTAGCTGACCACCATCTGCGACTAACGGTTTCCAGGATTTAGGGGTTTAGGGTAGCCGTCCCCTTTAAATGTCCCGATAAATCTGGTCAGCTTCGGATTTCCGACGTTTCCCTTCCGGCCTCACGGATACCACCTGAGGGCGCAAAGAAGGCATAGTTCAGAGCCGTCCCTACAATACAGGAGGTTCCAGTCTCCCGGAGCCTACTAACCACACTCTCCCCAACATACGAATCATACAATGGCAAGCATCCTAAACTATCCTAAACCCTAAACCCTAAATCCTAAATCCTAAACCCTAAACCCTCAACTCTAAACCCTAAACCCTAAATCCTAAACCCTGTGATTCGCTCCTTTGGACCCATACCCGGCTCCGTTCTCCGCTACTTGAAAACTCTGGGTTTCCAGCACTTGTTTAGGGTTCCTCCAGCAGGATCTATAGTGGTGTCTATAATATAAGGGGTTCCTTAAAGAGATCTATAAGGGTACTATAAGGATGCTATATGGGCAGTTCTCTAAATTAGGGTGCCCCTTTGGGGTCCCTTTTATAAGGTTGCCGTACTATACTGGGGACCTAAAAAGGGACCCTATATAGGTTTAGGGTTTAGGGACCTATCATGCCCTGCCCCTTTTTTAGGGTACGTCCCTTTTTTGTTTTGCATAACTGGTCCTAACCGTAAAACAGGGTACCCCCCAAACAGAGGGTTGGGCATGACCCTCTAAGTATAGCTTCAACTACCAAACCCACTTCTCTGCAGGGTCACGATACTTCTATATTAGGGCTTGTAGTAGGAATCTGCAAAAGAGTAGCTTATGGTAGTTTATAGCCTATGGTAGTTTAGTAGTATGGGGTATAGTATAGTTCATACTTCGACCTTACAGAAGTTCCTGCTAGAGGTAGGTATGGGCCAAAATCCTGCATACTTCAAGCAGGTACATGGACCCTTGAAGCCTCAATCCCAAACCCTCATGGCACACCCTTATAGGCGTAGGCGCAAGGGTCGGGTTGGGTCTCATTGTGGGAGGGTTTGGGGGTTTAGGTGTCCACGGAGGCCGGCTTCGGAGTTGAAGACGGGGGTTTGACTACAGTACTTAGAATAAGGCTTATACTCACTATACGGAGTAGAAGGGAGTAGTTAGTGTTAGTAGTTATTCCGACACCTATAGCATCTCTTCAACATCCGGGCAAAAAGTTCAAACTTTTCAAGATAAACGAGAAATGAAGGCATGTAAAGGCCAAAAAGCTTAAACATCTCCCATAGACAATGCGGGCCGGGCTGACTCGCGCTTGATTTGGGTCGCACCGCTTTTAACCCTTCAGCTGAACAAATAAACGCAACATAAACCCTTACAGGAACCCTTAAACCCTAAAACCCAAACCCTTAAAGGAACCCTTAAAGGAACCCTCCAAGGATCCTGTGGTTTACTGTTGCCCGTTGAGCCATCTTGCCTCCCTTCGAGCATCTTCAGCAGATAGGTGAGAAATTCTTGTCCCTAAGGGTCCATGTACCGAAATAGTATATACATTGGCCCAAATAGTACCTTTATAGGGACTACATTAAGGCCAAAGTATATGCTATTTGGGTACAAGGACCCTTAGGGTTGTCATCTCCTCCCATGTGCTTCTGACGCTGAGCATCGTGAGGATCCATCGGGTATGTGGGAGAGGAGCAACACCATCCTTTGAAGATTCCACCGATGTTGGTGTTGCGGTACCCATAGGCTCCTAAGTAGTTCCCTTTTGTGGTTTATACTTAGAATCCTATAGGGTACTCCCAAAAAGGAACTACTAAGGAGCCTATGGGTAGAATAGGTAGAATGGCA